TTTTTTTTTTTTTTTTTTTTTTTTTTTTGGAGGCTGTACAAAAGGTATGTCCTTATCAAAACAGAGACTTTCATACTGAATTGTAGACAGCATTTCCCTCGCAGGGTTTACGGTGCCCTATTGGAGTGAGATCCCACCCAGTAAGGGGGATGGCCTCCTCTTGGGCATAGGCGAATAGTGTCTTTTTATAGGACATCTATTACATGGGTTAATCCTGGTCCACAAATATGTATGTATGCACACTTAGTTAACACCTGGACAGGACCAGGACTGTGTTTCTGTTAGGATTCATCTGTGTCTTCCCTTGTTTTTGCGTTTGTTTGAGTTAATTTTCCTGGTTACTTGTTATTTGTTAATTTATTTTCCCCACCTGGCCTTTATTTTCTTCTTTGTTTTTAGCTGTGCATTTCTAGCCCTCTGTTTCAGTTGTGTATTGTCAGTTCTCTTCTTTATAGTTTGCAGCATCTCAGTATTGTTTTTCTCTCCCATTCTCCTGTGTTTGGTTTTTGAATGTTATTTAAATGAGTATACCGCTGCGATTAGATCCTGCCTCAAATTCTCATTGCTCCTGCAACCAGCTGCATGTGACATCTAGACATTTTTATTTACCATTTACCATTTACCGGTTTGTGCAAGGTTAATGTGATTTGCCATAAAATTTAGCCTACTGTTTCTAAACTGCAGGATGTGCTTGATGGGGGGAAAAAAGTTATTAAAAGTACAATAAGCCACAAAAAATAATTACATTCGATACTCGTATGCTATAGAGTTAATTTTCAGACATAGCCATTCACTGAGTGAGAAAAAAAACAAAACACCAGCATAAGCCTCTGCCAGTAGATTGCTTCAGCATTAAGCAGGACTAACACACAATGGGATCTTGATAATTTCACAGTATGCTCACCTCTTGAGTAACTACTACACCACTGGTTGCTAGGTCTGATTGCTAGGTCAGTGATTCCCAATGATTTTTTTATTTGTTTTCATCCAATCACATATCTCACTGTACAGAAACTAAAACCAAGTAAATGCTATTATAGGCGGAAATGTTTTCTACTTTCTATGCTGACAGTTTTTGTAGAAGAAACTTTGCTGATTAAGATACTTTTTATAGATTTAATAATACTGCTTTAACTTGTATACCCATAAATACCCCATTGTATTTCATTTTCTCTAAAATTTTCAGTGGACTGCCTAGCACTACCTTGTAGACTTCAGGGAAAGTATTTGCCATTTACTATCAGTCGTTAACATTTAGAGCTGGTAACTTTTAGAACTGTCTATACAAGAGGCTTTTCTCTCTAGTCATCTTTTAAAAGTTCTTAATGTACCCTTTTGAAATGAACAACTGACATTCAGTGTCAGTTCTTAAGAAAATCAAAGAAAACAACTTTCAAAAGATCAAAGAGGAAGACTAGAGGAGTTTGAGGAAGAAGCTTTTAGAGTGCATAATGTGTTGAGGATGTGAAATCCTTTGAATCAGCCAATGAGGGCAGGTTTAGATCAATGAAGCTCCTTTTAACGAGAAAGAACTCAATAGATTAGTCAAGATTAGTCTCCAGAGTGTGATTGCAATGATAAAACACTTAAACAATAATAACCTTTGTGGATATAAATAATGATCCATTTTATTGCTTCCAGTCACTAAGGTTATACATTTTTAAAAATCATTATACATCTATGAGAATAGGGATGTCCACAACACAGCTATAACAATAACGTCACAAAAGAATTATATCATTAGAATCACTTTCACTTTTTTTTTTTTTTGATGAAGGATAAAAACATTCACAGTCAATCAGAACCCACTCAGCAATTTAGCATGATCATTTAATGTGACAGACTACATAACTGCAGCACACACTTGTAATGAACAGTTAACACTAATACAGTTTTCGTTTATGTTGTGAATGGGCTTTAATGAACCTTAAGAATGATGCTGTATTTTTAATTTTTTTTTTTTTTTTTGCAGGCCAAAAAAGGACCTTATGCATTTTTGTGGGACATGGCCGTGGTGGAGTATGCAGCACTGACAGATGACGACTGCACCATCACTGTAGCTGGCAACAGCATGAGCAGCAAAGGCTATGGAATCGCTATGCAGCATGGGAGTCCTTACCGAGACCTCATCTCCCAAAAGTGAGTATTTTTAAGTTTCACCTCTTAAAAATAACATGCAGATGGTGTAAGGAGTATCTGTTGTTCAGGCAAAAGCTATTGTCATAATTATTTTAAGTTGACCATGCTTTGGGGAATTTAATGAGTTGTATGGTGAAGAGTTCTCTAGCTACTGCAAAAACCAATGTCTCGTACAAAAAGTGAATGAGGTGAAATATTTTGCACAATTCTACACATTTCTTATAGAATGATATAATATATATATATATATATATATATATATATATATATTCTGTTGTTTTTTGAATGTTTTCAAGAGATAGTATAACATGCAATAACATTTCAAGATTCTGCAGACATATGTTTCAAGTGTATTTCATTAACCTGCTACAGTTACCACAAAAATGACTCACAATTTCATAGGTGCCTTGAATTTCCCACAACTCACAGCCAGTCTTATTGCACACAAAGCCATGATTTGACATTAGCAATTGTTTCTTGGGTTTAGTTTTACATGCATTACAAATTGATCCCTTTGTGAATGTAACAGATGCCAGCAGACTGTATAAAGCTCCACATAATCACTTGTAACCAATTAAGATTGTTTAATTGCATTGCCTTTGGATTTTGTTAAGCTGGATAATGATCTTTGGTTGCCTTCTCACTCACTCTGTATTGATCTATCTATAATATATTAGCATGACCCAACCACCAGCAATACCCAGTGTCAAATGTTCCCGGTTTTGTGTTATGTTTGGACTTTTATGTTGTAGTTCTTGTCTAGTGTTACACAACAGCTGACCATGAAACACAGGGAAACCGGGGCTGTGTCCGAAATCACCCCCTATACACTTAAAAGAGGCATTATTTGAGGGGACAGCCATTTGTAGTGGTGTCCAAAACCATAGTGGATATTATCGAGTGCAATCCCATAATGTACCACAAAATAACGATTGTACAACTAATGTACATTCAATGGCTAGAGAAGACCAATAATGCACTGTGAGAGTCGTGACGAATGAATAACCTCATCTTGCTAGAAGATGGCACGTGCAGCTGGATCATCCATCCATCCACTTTTGCAACTCCTGGTTCAATGTGAGTACAGCGTCATATCAGGTATACATTTCTTTATAATTGACTATTCAATATTTTACTGAATGTTTATACATGCTAGCTTCTATGACAGTTCAAGATAGTTATTTTCATTACTACTGGAGCTGCTAGTTTGCAAAGTTTTCTAATGATTATTAAACAGCAAGCACAAACTATGCAAAAGTAGCAGCCCTTCCGGCACACTCAGCGTCCGATTTTCGCTCACTCGTTTTTATTCACTCCTTCAGCTGAACTATATTAGTGGACTAATGTAGGGAATAGTGAATGAGGGTATAGCGGGTGATTTCGAACACAGCACAGCGATTAAGTACACAAGGGAAAACGAGGAGACAAGGGACACCTGGGGACACAATCGAGGGCAACAAAACAGAAATGAAACTACAAAAGACTACAAACTGGCACAAGAAACTCAGGTCCAAACACAAGACAAAACGGGGAACATGTGACACCCAACATTAAAAAAAAAAGTATATATCTGCATGACAAGTGTATTGGAAGGCCGATCTGTTTACTCATAGGAACCAAGATTCAAGTCCTGCCAGTTGCATAAAACTCTTTATGTTAAACACTTTATAGTTACAATATATATATAAATTATAATTATAACTAATAATTATAAAGAGTAGTTTATTTGTTTGTTTGTTTTAGCTCAAGGTGAGCTAACAATATTGTGAAATTGGGCCCTGATCCCATTTCCCCTCTCTCACTTTTACTTTACTATCTACACTCTATCATCTTATAAAAGAATAGCAAAAATCTCCAAAAATAAAAAAAGGCCTAGGGCGACTGGGGAAATGCATTCTGAGGTAGCTGGGAGGAAGCTTGCAGGTTATTACACAGTGAACCATAATGTCATCTCCTCTTAAGTGAAGAATTCATCTTACTATTTTGCTTTTTGGCCCATCATTATCTGTTCTCTCTACCACTCTCAACTGTTGGTAGCCCCCTTGCATGTTGCATTTTACACTGAAGAGACTGAAACACCTGTATTACTTGTGGATGAGCCCTTCACTGACAAAAATGTTTTTTTTTTTTAAATCTTTTTATTTACTTAAACATGTCCTTACTTTACTAGTTTTTGTTTGTACCAGCAAAGGTATAAAATGTATAAACATTTAATCTGCTTACGGTGAGGCATTGAGCTGCTTTAGGTGATTTCTGTGCATCTGTGCATGTAGAAAATGTGTGTGGTGTTTGCTTGTGCAAAACTTTGCTATAGGGCATTGCCTTGCACTCCTAATGGTGTTATGGATAGTTTCTAAGATGTTGCTAGGTGGTTGCCAGTTGGTCCAGCACAATCTTATGGCAATTCGTAACTATTTTTCGTTTTGCCAAATTGGTGGCTAATTTGGATAATCCTGTTTGTATGTTTTTATGCAAACTGCTAATGCCCCATTGCTGTTATGTTTAGGGGTCCAGTTAGGGGACAAACTCGCCACCTTGCAAAATAGCTCTGTTTTATCCGTACCATTGTGTTAGTTATTTGTGGTGTTTGCCAAGAACAACAAAATTAGAGGTGCCACCCATAACAACCATTTCCAAACAGTTTCTCAAACACTCCCTCGTCTGCTATTGGTCAACAAACATAGAGAGGCACCTACAAATTAACTGATTGGCTAACGTGCACAGGCTGCATTCAGAAAATTTGAGAGGAAAGGAAGCAACCATAAGAAAAACTTCACATAAAATAAGTACATCCCATTGTCATCCTTCACAGGATTCTGGAGTTGCAGGAGAAAGGAGACCTGGATGTCTTGAAACAGAAGTGGTGGCCTCGGACTGGCCGCTGTGACCTCAACAGCCACAGTAATGCCCAACCGGACGGTCGCTCGCTCAAGCTGCATAGCTTCGCCGGCGTCTTCTGCATCCTAGCAGCGGGGCTCCTGTTGGCCTGTCTGGTGGCCGCACTGGAAATGTGGTGGAACAGCAATCATTGTCGGCAAGAGCAGCCCAAAGAGGTGACCGAGCTCAGGGCGAGGAAGACAGAGCAGGGAGAGGACACTGCCACACTCTACTTTAAGGATCCCGCAGCAGATGCGAGCCCCGATTTAGTCGAGCTCCAGTACACACAATTATAGGTGTGCCCTGATGAAATCAAAATTGGTCCCCCCCACCTATTCAAAATAACAACAGATTTTATTTGTGCTTGGGGTGTGCACAGTGCCCTTGATGAAGCAGGATTTACAGTCTAAAATGTCACATTTACTAATAAGATGTGATTGTGGAGTTTAGACCATTTCAGAACACAAAAGCTCTGCTTCAAAACCTAGTGAGAACTTTTATAGTTCTGCTCATTGAGCCACATGTCACCAATTCAAACAATGCAATTAGCATTTTGGTAAGTTAAAATGTGATACTATAAAAACACATAGTACACAAGTTATTTTATTGACACTTTTCAGTATTGGATGCATATATTTAATCAGCACTATGTTGGATTTTTTTTATTTATTTTTTTTTTTTTTTCATTGAGCTCATTGCACTGCATTGTAGAAATGTCTTCTCTCTAAACAATAAATGCAGTAATGCTTTAGAGTTTGTCCAAAATAAGGTATCTAATCTTACCTTCTTGGATCAGTTTTTACATTGTGACATGACTATTATGTCTTGAAGTGTACCTAGGCAGACATCTCACAAGGTTTCGGAACAGAGTTACTATATTCCACCAATTAGATTTTTCTTTGAATCCTAAGTAAGAATGGTGTGTACTTTTGCATTTCAGAGTTTTCTGCGGAGGATAAATCATATAACTTTTATATATACAGTATATATTAAATGATTTGAACATCCAAATGATTACCAGAAATTTTCAGCTGGAAAAAAGCCTTAAATACAGAGTTGTTTCAGAGCACCTTACTCCTTGGCAGTGGCAAATATTACAAACGATTCCAAATGATTATACACCAGAAAATTCCTTAGATTCTTGGCAACCTTGTAATGGTCATCTCTTCCCTTTTAATTTGTTCTTTCTTCCATTTAGTGTTTTAAACAACACTTTATACCCATAACTGTGCCTTCATGGTGCAATTAAGTGTCTAACTTTACTGTTCTCTTCAAATCACCTATTTCTAAATATCTGAATAATTACTTCACTCTTTTATAAGCCTTTCTAAAGCCTCATCCACTGCCAATGAAATTGCATCTAATAGACTGGAACAGGGTTGATGTGGATCCGTAAACTAAAGTGTGTGCAAATTTGGTACTTGCATGAGTCTGCCTGCTTAGTTATAAAAAAAAAAAGAGCCACCCCAAAAACATAACTCAAACCCCAAACAGTCAATAATCCCTAGTAATTTACTGTGTGACATCCTGTTGCAATTATATGTCAATGTGGACGAATTTTATGGATTTTTTTTTTATCTCTATATTTTCTATTTTACATTTATTCTTCATTTGTTTATGATCTCATGCAGGTTAATAAGGATTACAGACTGGCAAGGGTTTCTGGTCCATTGACATATAATGATATTGCTACTGCTTCATCGGAGGGGAGCAAGGACATTTGGACAGACAGAGAAAGAGACTGGGATGAAGCAGAAGCTATTGACACAGGTCAGAATAGAATTGTAGGCCTCTTCTTTGATTGGCTGGGAATTAACCGGACCAGATGTAGAAGCCATCTAACATTAAAGATTTATTTCTTTATTTTGCGTTTTTTTTTTTTGGGCTCATACAACACTTTATACCCATAACTGTGCCTTCATGGTGCAATTAAGTGTCTAACTTTACTGTTCTCTTCAAATCACCTATTTCTAAATATCTGAATAATTACTTCACTCTTTTATAAGCCTTTCTAAAGCCTCATCCACTGCCAATGAAATTGCATCTAATAGACTGGAACAGGGTTGATGTGGATCCGTAAACTAAAGTGTGTGCAAATTTGGTACTTGCATGAGTCTGCCTGCTTAGTTATAAAAAAAAAAAGAGCCACCCCAAAAACATAACTCAAACCCCAAACAGTCAATAATCCCTAGTAATTTACTGTGTGACATCCTGTTGCAATTATATGTCAATGTGGACGAATTTTATGGATTTTTTTTTTATCTCTATATTTTCTATTTTACATTTATTCTTCATTTGTTTATGATCTCATGCAGGATACTAAGGATTACAGACTGGCAAGGGTTTCTGGTCCATTGACATATAATGATATTGCTACTGCTTCATCGGAGGGGAGCAAGGACATTTGGACAGACAGAGAAAGAGACTGGGATGAAGCAGAAGCTATTGACACAGGTCAGAATAGAATTGTAGGCCTCTTCTTTGATTGGCTGGGAATTAACCGGACCAGATGTAGAAGCCATCTAACATTAAAGATTTATTTCTTTATTTTGCGTTTTTTTTTTTTGGGCTCATTTAGCTGATTCACGTTCCAAGTTGTGTTGGGTTTAGAATGATGCCTTTGCTTTTCCTGCTTTGAGATTTTTTCTTTTGTTTTGTTTTGTTTTTGAACGATTAGCACAATGCCACATTAAAGATGATAAATTATTTTCCAGTTCAATCAAAATTAGTGTTAAACACACTTCTGCTGTTTAATTGGTGGCATTTATTTGTGGAGTCAATAAGCTATTACTTATTTATAATTTAAATGACTAAACACATCCTAATAAATGACTAAATGCATCCTGGGATGCTTTTTAAACAGTACTGAAGGAGTTCCTGTGTTTGCTGGATACTTGTTGGATGCTTTTCCTTCAATATCTGCTCCAACTTGTTCATTAAAAACATTTTAGTTAGAATTTTAGTTTTGAAAATAAATTCATTTGTACACACAAATAAATAAATTAAATTCATAAATTCAAATTCAAATTGCCCAATTTATATTTGTCTTCAAAACATATCTCAAGCAATAAAAGCAAAGCATTTAGATCAAAAGGGTTTTAAGATCATGAGAAACAAATTCAGTCAAGTGATTGTTTAGTGGTGCACATGACTATGAAAGAAGCAACAAGATTCCACTAGTGTTAATAATATAGCATTGCAAATAGAATTGGTAGGGCAGCAGATGCCCTGGATTTCAGATCTCAGACCTTTTTCCTCCTCTTGTGTAACAAGCAGGAAAATCAAAATATCACAATCGAAATTAGACTCAAATTTACACTTTAGAACCATGGGGATTCTTAACAAGACCCGCTATAGTAAGAAAGTTAGCTGAAAATGATTGGATGGCCTGAAGCAAAGCTAGTACACACTCTTCTTGTCTCCTTAAGATTGGAAAGCTCAGGTTTTGGTTTAAAAAATGTACCTTGTTCATTATCATTGATGGTAGACATTAAAGCTGAGTTAGGGTTATCTTTACCACCAGTTCAATTTTTTTGCAATAATAAATTACATGCTAGGTCTCTGACCCTGCATTTTTACTTTCCTCTGGATGTAGTTTACAAGTCACAGTTTACCATCTGTTGATTGACTATGGTGGAATGACTATATATATATATACACTGTCAGAATTTTGGAGTAATTGGTCATTTCTGGCTTCATTCATTATGCAGTATAGTAGCAGTTGTTTAGGAAAAAAATACATCAACAACAAAAAAGTGTTGGTAACTAATTTTGTGCACATATTTAGTTTGGAAGTCATTGCATCTGGTTAGACAGTTAGACAGTTATATATATTATATATATATATATACAATAAACTTAACAACAAAAAAAACTTATTGCGTCATTATAACTTAAAATTTCACCCAACTCTCTTCATTATTTAAGACAAATAGGATTACTGAACGGCGATACGATTGTGGGAAATGTGTGAAAGCATGTATCCCCTTGGAAATATTTGTAAAGACAAGTCTGCTTCAACCTAATATGACAGACTAATTTACCCAGTGCAATTGCTTTGCAATTCCAGCCTTAACTCCTGACCTATTCCTCCCAAAGCTTTATTACTCTCTAATGTGTCTTTGCATTTGATGCTGCATAGCTTCATTAATCTACATATGTTGTGAGACCTTAACAAATAATTTTGTGTAACAGTTTGTGACCTTACTATAACAGTGGTGGACTCTGGAGCCAATCTGTATTTCTTCTGCATGATTCCAAAACATAAATATTTAAAATTAATTGTAGATTAGATGGGACGTATGGGCTAGTTAGGTCTCTCTGCTTTGGCTTTGAACTACTATGTTCGATTTCTTTGTGTTCCAGCAATGGAGCCATTTTCACTTTTATTATTTGATCCACACACACACACACACACACACACACACACAGTGACCTAAAAATGAAAATCATGTGGCGCTGATCACAAGCATCTCATTTTTTGGTATGTATTTTTGTTGTTGTTGAGGAAAGGTCGTGTGGTGTCTGGTTTACACAACATCCTCTCACGGCATGATATTACCAGAGAGATAAAGAGCCAGCATTCATTTTTAATGTCAGAAATGTAATGCATTATGAAGAGTCCAAACACACACACATAGAAACAGAAACGCACACCTCATTAAGCCGTGCAGGAAACTACTCTGATATCCCTGAGCCTGTGTGAGATCCGCCGTGCCACGAGACTAATGCCACTAATCGTCTGTCCGGAAAGCACACACACACATATATACATATATATATATATATATATATATATATATATATGGCTGGCTAAAATGTATGCCATGATTATTTATAAAGAATAATTCATTCTAACAGGCACATTAAATTATGAATAATTAATTGCAAAAAAAAATAAAAAATCATTAATTTTACTACTACTACTACTAATAATAATATCAATGTAATATAGATACAATATGGATCTGTGAGTGACACAACAGTCCAAAGGCAACACGTGTGCTCCTTTTTTACCCAAATATAGCATCATAAAATTTATTGTAGATTTTATAATCCATAGAAGTACATTCTCACTAGGTTTAAAACTAAGTAAAATTTAAAATGTAAACTAAAAATTTAAACTCTGGCCTAAAACAATATTTATTTACGCTTCAGAAAGTATGCTAAAAAAAGACAAAGACAAGACAAAGAGAAAACTCAGACTTGATTGTGGGGAAGCAATGTTAGTTTTCACCTGGCCTTAATTTCCTCATAATTTTTACTTCTGTAATGCAATGATTTTACATCTTTGTGTTTTGTATTGTGGTACAAGTGAATAATTATGGTTACAAACAAAAAAAACTTTACAATTCACATTATATTATACATCGTAAGCAAAGCTATTTGACCACAGAATGCAGCACATACTTGCATTGCGATATGAATTGCACTGTTTTTTGTTTGTTTGTTTGTTTTAAAGCAAAAAAAAAACATAAAAATGATAAACAAACTTTGAAAACACTTTTTCATACTAAATTGTTTACCCAAATATTTTGCAAGTACGCGGTTTTAAAATGCATGCTGTGTTTTAACTGAGAATTAACTGCAATCATAAAAATGTCTGTACATTTTATTGTTAATGTCTTTTATGAAATGCAGGTTGGCTCCAGCACTAATGTTGTTGGTGATGTTAAATGTAAAGGCAGGTTTAGTGTCACTCAAGCATCATTATTTTAAATGCCCACTGGCCAAATTTGATTTCAAGGTGCACATTCTATAAAACTTTTCTTTCAAACACTATTCTACTATCTGGACTTTCCAATCGGGTATTTTTAGTAAATTCGCAGCACACCCTGCAGTAACTCAAATAAGCCTTACTTGCATGGAGCTTAAAAACAAAAATCCCATCCTGGAACCAGCAGATCTCAGCCTCTCTGTCCCTCCTTTCTTCTCTCACCCTCTCTAGGACAAGGAGGTGAACCTGGAACAGGTGCATCGGCGTATGAACAGTCTTATGGACGAGGACATGGCACACAAGCAGATCCCCGCACCATCTATCGAGATCTCTGCCCTGGACATCGGCAGCATGCCGCCCAGCCAGCAGCGGGAGGCTGTGCGAGCCTACCCGGGCACGGGTCTGTCTGTGAGCACCTTCATCCCGGAGCAAGCTCATGGGGTGGGCCGGATGCTGGCCCAGGGTCCTGGCAGCACCCTGCCCCTTCCTCTCAGCAGCTCCACCATGCCCTCCGTCCAATGCAAACACAGGGCTCCCAACGGGGGTCTGTTCCGACAGAGTCCCGCCAAGACGCCCATGCCAATGTCCTACCAGTCAGTACCAGGAGGACCCATCCCAGAAGCTATTGAGCATAGTACATCCATCTAAGGTCATCGTCACCATGTGCTGCCTCACACTTGCTTTTCAAAGGAAGAAAGCTGAGCTGCTGTTGGAGCTTTGGAAACTGTGGTGGTGTAAAAAGAGGGGGAGGGGGAGTATGTAGAGATTTTTATTATGAAAAAAATGAAAACATGAGAAATAATTTTTTCTTGTACATATTTGTAAATACTGAAAGAGCAAAGTAAGTAAAAGTGTATTTTGAATATTCTCAATTTTTGAAGTTGAGTTACAAAAACAAATTAATAACAAAAAAGGACATATAAAAATTATTCAAAACGACTGTTTGAATGGCTTTGTGAATTTTGTTCTCTGTGGGTAAAGACTCATTCATTGTGATTGTTTTCTAAGTGCCGAAATAAAAGATATCTCTCCACGTTTTGTTACTAGATGATCATAAACGGCCGTAGGAACCCAAGAGATAATTATGCACCCCTTTTACAGTCATAAATCTTCTTCAACCTGCAAACATGGAGGCCATTTTAATTTTGCTTCCTTTTCAGATTTTAGTTGTGGATTACTGATATAGATTTATGTGCTTGCATTGAGTTGATGTTGATTATGGGTTTACTGAACAAGCAAAAGCTAACCACTCAAAATAGTATAGACTTGTGCGGAAATATTGTCTCGGACAAGCTAAATCCTTGCAATCATGGCAGCAGCACTGAACTGAAAAAAGCTTATTTTTTTCCATTTTGTCTGCATTTTCAGACTGTTTGGAAACTATCAGCCCGTGAGCACAACCAGCCCAGAGAGAACAATTTTATTCCTGAAACATAACAGAACAGCTTAATTTGTCGTACATCAAGGACATTTTACACCAGTTCATGCTGTCATTTGTGAAAGAGTTGTATTATCATTGCTTTTCTGATATTCTGCCAAAACCATTTTTTGTACAACATTTACACAGAGTATATAGACAAAAAAAAAACACCAATAACAACTTGTATATGATATGATTTTCATAATTTACATAAACAAGGGGAATATGTGATTGGAGTAAATGAAGCCATGTTGGTACGCCCACAACTGGACAAACATCTCTTGCAGGCAACCTAAATAGTCCAAACACGCATATGAATTATTTTTTACTGTACAATTAAACTTTTACATTTCTTTTTACATGCTGTTTTTTAATCGTTTTTCAGGAGGTTCGGACCAATTATGAATCTCAGCCATATTATGTTTGTGACCTAAACCAGAACAACCTTATACACTCACGCCATTTACAGCTACTTGTGCATATTTTCCTGTTGGTTTCCACAGACACTCTGAAATTTTCCATTCGTCAACTCATAAAGAGAAGGACATTTGTCAGTGTGCACATAAACCAGTTTTCAAGAAGATTTCGCCCTGCATATGCTTGTCAGTCATAAATCAAGGTTATATCCTGTATATTTTGTACAAGTCCAAATAGTTACTAATTTGAACCAAAGTGATATATTACACTGTGTAACACAACCCGTGGCTTTGAGATGCTGACAGTGGTGGTAAGGATGTGTAATTTGTAGGGTTAAGTGTCTTCACTGCCTTACACTTGTGCCCCTTTGATTTTTAGAGAAAAATATCCAATATTCCATTAAATATAACAGTATCATAGCATAGTCTGTAACATTACATATAAGGGAGACTTATTTTATTTATGAATATGCTGCTTGGAGTTTCTTAATCTTTAATAAAGAAATATGGTTTACATCGTTTGATTGATGCTTGAGTAATTTTGCAGTTGCAATTTGGAGAAATATTGATGTTCATTCTTAGGGTCGCACTTGAAGGTACAACTGAAGATTCAGTATGTGCCTTAAATATAGCAGCACAGACTCTGTGCTCTGTGCAGTTACACTTTGTTAGATGTAACCAGACCATACCGTATTTGTTGCAGAGACGCATTAAATAACTTCTCAATGACATATGTTATTCCCATAGTTGTTGTGGTGATGTTATAGTAGCTACAACCAAATTTTTTTTTAATATAAAAATGTATCTCAGTATTGACCTGAAGCCACATCATGAGACACTGTTCATGTGCAAAATAACCAAACAGGGAATTGTATTACTAAAAACCATTTAAAAAAGTACACACATCTAAAACACTAATGCACATCTGAAACACTACACATCTAATATTACATTTAAAGGGTTAGTTCACCCCAAAATGAAAATTAGGCTGCGTTTAATTGTCTTTGATCTTTCAAGCTGTTTAATGCCACTCAGCGGGTGTTGCATGTATCAGTGCAAAAGAAGTTAAATAAAAAGCGCCCATCCATAAAAAAGTGTCTCACACGGCTCCGGGGGGTGAACAAAGGCCTTCTGTAGTGAATCGATGCGTTTTTGTAAGAAAAATATCCATATTCAAAACATAATAATCACTTTAATGTAGCTTGCGCCAACAGTCCTACACGGAAGCAGCTCCGGGCTGATGACGTATGAGTTCAGCGTTGTGCATGCACCAGTGAGTCTTGTGAAAACCAACGTTTGTTAAAAGGAGCAAAGGAAGCAAAGTTTCCTTACTTTAGCAAAGGAAAACCAGTCTCCTCTTGGCTTATATTGAAATCCTCCGACATTATTCTTTACAAATCCTCATTTTGTACTTCAAATTAGTGACCGTTGTTTTGTTTTGATTTCTCCCCTGCGCTTCCGCGTTCGTCACTTCTGAGCGGCGCATGCACAAAGCCGACCTCATACGCCCTCCGCCCGGAACTGCTTCCGGGTACAACAGTGAGCGCAAGCTACATTAAAGTGATTATTACATTTTGAAAATGAATATTTTTCTAACAAAAACGCATCGGTTCACTACAGATGGCCTTTGTTCACCCCCCGGAGTCGGAGACACTTTTTTATGGATGGGTGCTTTTTATTTAACTTCTTTTGGACTTATGCATGCAACACCCGCTGATTGCCATGAAACAGCTTGAAAGATCAAAGACCAAAGATCAAAGACAATTTTTAATATAACTCCGACTGAATTCGTCTGAAAGAAGAAAGTCATATACACCTAGGATGACTTGAGGGTGAGTAATTTATGGGCTAATTTAAATTTTTGGGTGAACTAACCCTTTTAGCACGGCACACCAGCTTAACTTTTCTAAAATCACTGTAAATCATGGCTTCACAGGGCTTATTGCTTTTATAAAATGTAATACTGATGTAAAGAGGTCACGTGTATGTGTTTAAAGAGTATTTTATAACAGCTTTGAATAAATCATAATGAAAGACTGGCACTATTCTTTTTTTATGAAAAGTAATTTGTCTTGTGCCTGATCACAAAGAAAAAAGATATGTGCCACTGAGGCATGAACAATTCTAGGCTAGTATCTCCACAAAGGTAATGTAGCGTCTGGACCAATCAGACACACCATTTTTCATT